TTCTTTGGGGGCCCCCTTCTTACCTGTGCAACATTTCGGCCTCAACTGTTCCCCTTATTCTCTTAGGTCCTTTGTCTTCCTGTTTTTGCTTTCCCAGCCCCTTTTTTTTGTTTTTGCCCAAGCCCTTCGGGGATACCATGGCTCATCCCGGCTTTTTCATTATTTCCCGTTCCCTTTGGGTACAAAACCCCTCCTCAGCTTCCTTGCATATTGTTGTTACTATTCCTTCATTCATTTACTTTCTTTCCTGCCAGTTCTCTGTTTTCCCTGAACCCCATTCGGAAGTTTCCCCATTTTCCCGTGTAGTCCCACTTTCTTGTAGTTTGGGGTTAAACGTCCCCGGCCTTCCTGCTTCCCCTTCCCTTTTCAGCTCTACTGTGTATTCTAAGCTTAAAACCCCAGATTGCGGCTCCCAAGGGGGCTTTCTATGTATGTCCTCAATACTCACTGCTCAAAGATAATCTCTGGCCAGTTTTGCTGATTCATCCTCTCCTCTTTCTTTTGTATGTCCTTTCTTTGTTGGTACATGAATTTTTTCCAGTGCCACCTCCTGATTTAGCCCTCCATGTATCTTGGCCCCCCATGTGCTCCCCCAAGGGTTTTTTCCCAATCATTTTCCTTTTTGGTTAAAGTCACTCATGATCAGTAGCTTTTCCCCCGAAAACCAGGGGCGCTTCTGGCCACTTGCTGCCAGTGTGTCAATCTTCCCTTTTGTTTTCCATCAATTTTTGCTTGACCCCCTGCGTTCTGGGTGGGTTATACACACTCCATTGCCATTTTGGGGACCACCAAGGTTTTGGGCATTCTGCTATGTAACATTTTGCTTCTCCACTGTCCCCTCTCTCCAGTCATAAAATCCCTTTGGGTTTTTTTGATCAGCAGGCCCACCTCCCCCCCCCTGTTCCTCTGCTTTCCTCCCAGGATCTGATACCCTTGGGAAAGATGGCATCTGTTTTATATTGTAACTTGGTTTTTTTTTGAGAGCTAAATGCCGGTGATGCCTCTTTGACTCTTTTGGGCCACTCCCCCCCCACTTATTTTTTATCCCATCAGTAATTGGCAGCATACCTTCTTTCCCCCTTTCCCAAAAACACTGGGGTTTGGGGGCCTGGGGGGTTTTGGGGACCTGGTAGTGAAAACGGGGGAATTCTATACAGAGTTTTGGGTGGGAGTTTGGTGCGGATTATAGTCTGTGTAGGGATGGGTGATAGGTTGGGGGATCGGGGAGGGTTTTCTCTGTGTGCTTTGCCCCCTGTTGCTTTCCCTCTTTGATTAAACTCTCAGGGTTTTCATTTTTTCCCCCCCCTAGCTCCTTTTGCTTTTGTGCCTCTCCCTCGCTACGATGCTATTTTGTTCTCCCCTGTTTTTGGGGGGAACACTGTCTTTACCTCCGATACTTTCAACCGGGGTTTTCCGTTTCTGTCCTGAAAATAAGCTTGATCGTTGTTTTCTCTCCTTCAAGTACTTCTTTCCCTATTCTCGAAAATTTAGAATCCGTCCATGTCTTCTTCACCCATTTCTGTGATGATGTTTTCAATCTCTTTTCTTTCTACTGCCGTCTTTTTGTGTAGTTCTTCCCCCCCTCTCCTGAAGCCCATGAATAAACACTGACTTTGCCCTTTTTCCTCTTCCATTGCCTTTCCCTCTTGATTTTGGGTTCCCGTCTTAATTGGCCATTTTCTCCCTTTTTTTTTCGAGTACTCTTGGTAGCATGGTTGTGCCTCTGCCTTTGACCTTTTCTCCCTCTCCCCTCTGCCCCCCACCCGTCCCCCTTTACTCTTTGGGCCCTTTTTGGCAGGTATATGACCCTTAGAAATTCATATCTCCTTCCTGTAATTCATATCTCCCCGTAACTTGCTTTACCTGTTTACCTCAACTTCTAGGGGTCCTTATCCTGGCTACGAAGTTTTTTACTTATGCCTCCCAATTTTTCTTCTCCTCCTTCCAACCTCTTTTCCATTTCACAAAAAGCTCTGTCTCCATTTTTGCAGAAAGCTCTCCTAATTTTCTCTCCCACTCTTGTTCCATCCTTTTCCCCGTCCCCATCCACTCCCCCCTACCAGAACCATTCTCTTTGATCCCTGGTTCCTTTTAGTCCACACCCATTTTTTTAGAGAAGGAGAGAGAAGAGAGAGAAGAGAGAGAGGAGAGAGAGAAGAGGAAGAGAGAGGAAACAACAGACAGACAGACGACACGACAGACAAAAGAAGAAAGAGAGAAATGGGGAAAGTAAAGGAGAGGAGAGGGAGGAGTTAGAAGGGAAAAGAAGGGAGAGAGAGGAAGGGGAGAGGGGAGGAGAAGAGGAGAGAAGAGAGAGGAGAGAGAAAAGAAAGAGGAAAGGAGAGGAGTGGGGGGGGAAGGGGGGGGTGGGGGGGGATGGGAAGAGAGAGAGGGGAAGAGAGAGAGTGGGGGAAGAGGGGGGAGGGGGTGGGAAAAGGGGGGAGGGGAAATGGGGAGGGGGAGAGAGGGGAGAGAAATGAGAGGAGGAGAGATTTAAGGG